AATAATGTATTCAGGTAGTAAATAACACTCAAAAGACTTCTACCAAATAAGAATCCTAAACAAGGTTTGTTTCTCCATTCTGCATTCTGATGTGGTTATTTTTCTTGCAATAGAATACAAAATAAAGTAACCTATCTTTGACATTTATTTACAGAACGGACATTAGTATAGCCGTCTTCTAAAACGCAAAAATTTGGCCAAAATTAAATATTCCAGCTGCTCGAACAGTTCAAAATACTGGCCAATACTTGCAATATCTTGAGAAAGAAGAAAGTCCCTTGCGTTTTAGTAAGTTTAGCTAACATTGAAACAATTTTGTTTTTTGCATCCCAGAGTTAACACTGTCAATATTTTTCTCAGTTGTTATTAAAGTTATTAATTATCAAAGGGACTACCTCATCTTCAGTGATGAGGCCCTTGGAGGGCGAAAACTTTGTTCTAGAACCCTTCGGACCAGAGGATTCCCTAAAATACTTTTGGGACACACGCACCTACTGGCACCCATCTAGTCAAGACTATTGTATTGGCGCTCCTAAAACTACTGAAAGACACACTTAGTTTACTTCATGAATTAACTCCTAAGTCAAGGCGTCGACCTTGTTGCCCTAACATTCTGCTCGTCTAATTGTTGGATGAGGAATAAATTGACTACAGTCATCTTGCTGTGCTATTTATGGGTGGAGTAGAAGTCATTGTAAAAAAAAAATATCAACCGAGAACGCCAGAAATGTGTAAGCCACCAGTTTTAGTTAACGAGCTGCGGGTATTAGCAAAGTAGGAACAACTCAAATAACCAAATCATGATTTCACCGTGCCGGAGTTCCGAAGTCACCATCAAACACCCCGTCAGAGACTACAAGCGGTAAGTTCTGTCAAGGAGTATTCCTTTCAAGAAATTATTGGGATAGTGGTAGCAAGACCTAGTTGTTTATAAGAGCTCCTAAAGCACGCGTAAATAAACCCATCAAAACTTTATGTCATTACTTCGTCCATTGTATAATCGTATGAAACCCCACTACGGAAAATGCATCACATGCAATAAAGGCTACGACGGTGAGATATCGTATTGCAGGAATTGGTCGAACTTGATGGCGTTTGCATCGCGAAAATTATCGTAGAGGTGAAATAGCTAGTGACTGCAAGACGAATTTTGGCAACTGTTTTAATATGAATGGTAGAGGACAACGGAAGGGGTGATTCACTTACCTTCATTCGAATGCTGATACCAGACTAAATATGAGCGAAGGAGGAGCTAACAGTTGTCAGAGACAGACTTGGGGCATTCTCCAGGTGAGCGGTGCTCCACTTTATCGAGTACATCCTAACCAAGGGAGTACGACAAAGTATTACGTGAAATCGTCTTTTGTCCCATTCATGGCCAGATATCCATCCTGTTTAAACATGCGAAATTCACCCAGAACGATATTACCGACAAAGACAAAGGGAGACTGGAATGGCCATTTCTGGCTTATTAGCCGTCGTCAGCCAGCCATACCCAAGCCCGAAGTGTGGAACACCCGAGCCTCGAACTCGCGACCTGTTGGTTTAGAAGTCAACGCCTCTACTCAGCGGGCCACGAGCCCGTTGCCTTGTCGGTTTTCGATCGGGAATATACAGTGTTAGGGGGCACTCACCGATCGTTCATACGGAACTCACTCGTTCCGTTGTGCCTTAAGGGCTCTCTCTCGAGCCCAACCAACAGCCGCACAGCGGCGCATGATATATAGGCAGAATGATATTACCGACAAAGACAAGGGAGACAGGAATGGCCATTTCTGGCTTATTAGCCGTCGTCAGCCACCCATACCCAAGCCCGAAGTGTGGAACACCCGAGCCTCGAACACGAGAGAGAGCCCTTAAGGCACAACGGAACGAGTGAGTTCCGTAT